AATTAAAATTCCTTGTTCGTTCATAAATATTTATGGATCGAAATTGAATTTGGCCCGAATTTGGTTCCTTGCTGTAAACGGGTTTAACACGCAACGGACGTGTGAAGCCGAGGGGTATCGCGTGACGCGAGACCACTGCTCGCGGTCGGATGCGTTTTCTCGACCCGTTTAATTGATATTCCATCAGACTTCGGCCGGCGTTGCACAATTGGCGTTGCACGGCCGCGTGCCGACGCGTTTCCGTTCCGACTTCGACCGTTAATGGTCCCTTTATGGGCCAATGGACCTTGGCGAAACGTGCCTCGGTTTCTTCTCTCGTTGCATAAGGCTTGTGTCAAACGGCTTTCATCGTTGTTTCATAAACAAGCGTTTGCATATTCTAATTCGATTTTGTCATTCGATTTTAAAATCAAGAGACATAAAAATAAAAATAAAAAAATATTACAAGTATTATTAATATTGAAGTTATTTTTTTAAGAATTAATTTGAGTTTCAGGAATTTCTGCATTTTGTAAACTGTAAATATTTATCATGAATTAACTGAGAAACTGGATTTGTCGATTTAATGAATCGACTCTCGACTTGAGTTAATTGGATTCTGTGATAATAAATCTGAACACGATTTTCTATGTTAGAAAGTGGTTATCGCTGTGGAATAGTCGCACGCGTCCCATTGTCACTCGATTACTATTATTATTTTTCAACGGCTCTCGAAAATCCTCGGCTTTCACTCGCGGACGTACGTAGTTTGCATGAGACTGAGAATTAAATTGAATTTGGCCCGAATTTGGTTCCTTGCTGTAAACGGGTTTAACACGCAACGGACGTGTGAAGCCGAGGGGTATCGCGTGACGCGAGACCACTGCTCGCGGTCGGATGCGTTTTCTCGACCCGTTTAATTGATATTCCATCAGACTTCGGCCGGCGTTGCACAATTGGCGTTGCACGGCCGCGTGCCGACGCGTTTCCGTTCCGACTTCGACCGTTAATGGTCCCTTTATGGGCCAATGGACCTTGGCGAAACGTGCCTCGGTTTCTTCTCTCGTTGCATAAGGCTTGTGTCAAACGGCTTTCATCGTTGTTTCATAAACAAGCGTTTGCATATTCTAATTCGATTTTGTCATTCGATTTTAAAANTACTGATTATTATTGTAATATAAACAGTGTTTAAGACACCTAGAACCAAAAATTATTCTTAGCCTAAGTTAAACGAAATTATATAAAAGAATATATAACTGATGTGTATTAATTATCATGTTAATTTAATTCTGATACAAATAAATTGTTTATGATTCGTCTTGAACGACGTCGATTGCAATTCCTTCGTCCTCTGAAAACAATTTCCTTTTCTTTACTGCTTTTTTTGTTTCCTGTTGATTCTCTTCGATATTTTTCCTAACTGCTTCCACGTTCATTTTCAGTTCAGGCCATCTGTAATTTTTGATAGCAACAATGAATCGCAATAATTCGTTATCTGATATTTAATTTCCAACTATTCTCGTTACGCTTTTGTTACTTTATCAAACGCTGTTATTCATGAAATTAATGGTACCTGAATAACGAAGGAACGCCCCTCTTCACCTTTCCCGGATTTTTCGCACGATTCTTCTTCTTAGGTTCGCTCTGTGTAAAGAATAATTTTCATCCTCAAGAAATTCTACGATTCAATTTTTTAATTAACAATATTTAATTACTTCGGTCGCATTTAGCAACATTTTGTATCTTTTTATCTCGTCCGAGTGTTGCTGTTTCAACAACGCTATGTCCTCTCTGTGCTGGTGATCTTGCATTTCCAGTCGAATTTTCAGAACTTCTACTTCATCTTGCAATCTCGATACTTTATCAAATTTTAAAATAAATAAGAATGAAGTAATATCAGTATATCTGATCGTGTTGTGTGTGTGATAAATAAAAGTTTTAACGTTGCGATTGACAATCTGATTCCTATCACTGATAACAGAGATTACACAAGTGCAAGGTTCGTAGAAGAAACGTAAATCATAGCTCGTGTAGGACGAGCAATGAACTTTAAACAATGAATCGTAAGATTCCGGATCGATTCAAGGGGATTCGGATTAACAATAGATCCATTGAAAAATTATTAACTGATAACGCATGGATTAACGCCTGGCTGATAATCTGTTCTAAGCAAATAAATGTACGATTCCATCACGAGGTGAAATGAAATTCAGATATGCTCACATATCGTAGCACGCAGCTTGCTTCTGATAATCTTTACGTCTTTCTACACTGATAATAATGTATGAACGTATTTTTCATTTAATTAACAATGTAACGAATCTTAATTAAGACTGTGGGTGTTTATACAAATTGAGGCATTTAAAGTGCACCATTTTGCATGCATTAAATATAATTTCTAATATTTCGTACATTTTTACAAACTGTTTAAAATTCAGAATATTTAAAATAATAAAATCTATGAATATCAGAAGTACAGAATTTTTTTTATACATGCAGTTCTTCACTGGGAAGTAAATTTCGTTTGGTTTTGTAATTCGAATATTAATTAATACCTCCATTGTGATCCTCTAAAATGTTAATAGAACGTAGATGCTCGCACTGTTCCCTGAGTTCCTCAATCGTTCCACGAAGCTCGTTTCTCTCTTTATCGAATTCCTCAATCGAGGATTTGTACCTCGTTTGCAACAGCAAATAAGCCTCGTATATCTTTTCGAGGTTTACTTTCAGTTTCTCCGAACGTTCCTGCTCCATTGACATCCGCTCGTCTTGCAATTCGCAGTATGTTTGCAACGCCAGGTGCACCTAACGTATTTCATATTATAAATGATAGTATAAAAAATGTTTATACGAGTTTTGTAATAAAAATTGTCGAACATCTTGGATTTTTGTAAAGCCTTCCAATAGTCTCTGGAGCTCACTGCTTAAATATTCTTCCGCCGCCATATTGGCTTTGCAAACTTTCTCAATAATAATC